CCCCCCCCCCCCCCCCCCCAGCTGAAGCACGGCTGGGTGACCTGCTTTGGCCAATGAAATGTGAATGGAAGTAACATCTCTTTAAAATTTTGAATGTTAATTCCAAGCTGTACTCTGAGTGGTCCTGTCACCTCATTGTACTCCACCCCTTCTCTCCTTTCACGGCTGATGTTGGTTTGATCTGCAGATGAAAGCTCAAGGCCCATCCTGTAAGGGGATCCTGAGGAGAAATGACTTTAAGGGACTTAAATGTGCAGACGTGATGCTCCCCAAGCAGCCCCGCCTGGGGTCAGAGGATGGCGGGGAGTTTTAAACAGTCATTGTTTTTCAAGAACCAAGGCACTTACCTTAGGAATTCTGGTGGGCTTTACGAAATGACATATTAGAAAATAAGCATGAAATAGTAAAAGTAAATCTCTACAGAGTTCAGATTCTTTTCGTATTTAAGCCCAGTCTGTGGATGCTGAGGAATGATACAGAATCCATTTAGTTTTGCACCTGAGCTGTTACCAAACAGCTTTGAATCTTTCAAAGAGCAACAGAGAATAAGACAAGCCCCGAATCGACACCTGTGTGTGCGTGCGTGTGTGTGTGTGTGTGTGTGTGTGTGTGTGTGTGTGTGTGTGTGTGTGTGTGTGGTTTGCTTTACAAACTTAAGGAAACGTGACTACAGCCCCGACTGTCGCACTGACACCTACTTGGTGGGGCTGCAGGTGTGCAAGGCCTTCAGGTGCGGCTTCCAGGTTGCAATGGAGACAGATTTCTCGTCGGCTGCATAACTACGCCAAACGCACTGCACACAGCATACGCGGGGACATAAGAAAGAAAAACAAAAGAGAGGAGGAGAGAGAATGCAATGAAAAGGGAGATTAGTAAATTAATACAGATTAAGCATCTTTTCCTTGCCATGTTCAGCCCTGATAAATGTCTGAAGGGTGAAGAGGCTTGGGTGTTTTCGCCTGGCTGTGAAATATGCTCCACCACATCCACAGAACTGCTTTTCAAAATAACTCACATCAGAAGCAGAAGTACCACAAAGCATAACACAGAGGAGTTTTGGGATTGGTTAGGGAGAGACGTCAGAGGTGAGCTACCCGAGTGTGACTGACTGTGCAACCTGGGAGCCACTGCGTGCCCTTAATCACCACTTGTAAGATAGAGGCAAAGGTCCCTGGAAATCAATAAGGCAACTAGTAAATTAGCTAGTAAACTGATGACCACCAGGGCATGTTAATGATGTAGTGAAATCCCCTGCGGATGAACCATGTGGTACTTCTAAGGCTAACCATGAAGGTGGAGATAAGAGGCAGGCCTAAAACAAGGTGGAGAAATGTATTCTCAGGAATATAATCGGAAAGCACATAAGAATTTAATGCTGGGGTCTAAGAACACGTTTATAGCTCTTTGATGTGAAACACAAGCTCTGTGTACTTCATATAATTATACCTGATATATATATAATACAAAGTATTTTCATGTAATCCCCACAGAGTGTGGATTAAGACCCTTATGACCCTTATTTTGTAGAAGAGAAAATAAAGGCTCAGATAAATTAAGAGGTTAACACAAGGCTGGCAGAGGTGAGACATCACCTCAGGTTGCCTGGCTGTTGGTCTTAGAATCCCTCCACGGTCCTTTGCTGACTGCTGGGTGACCGTTGTTGGAACAGCTTCCCTCTGAACTGTCCATTTCAGAGGTTGCCTGAACTTACTTTCCATAGAGATTTTGGTGAATTCCTTCCTTTGCAATAGGTCTGCAAACATCTCTAGTGACCAAGTGTTTACGCCACTCTCCTGAGAGGAACATTTTTATTATAATTCATAAAACAAAACATTCTATTTTGTGTGACTAATTCATATAAACAGGTCATGCCCCTGCTGTCTTACCATCATTCATGATTTTGAAACCTACAATGAAGAAAACAGTGACCTAATAATATTCCTTTTCCTGACAATACATTGAATACGCATGTGCAGAAAAAAGAGTTAAAAACTGACATAACTAATTTGGAAAACTCTGGCTGTACCTATTAAAGCTGAAGTATATATACCCTATGATACAGCTACACACTCCTGCATGTATACTCAAGAAATATGCTTACACAAGCTCATCAAAAGATGTGTACTCTAATGTTCAAAACAGCACTACTCTTTTTTAAAAATCTTAATGTGAATTTTCTTATTTGTTTACTTACTGAAGTATAGTTGGTGTACAATATAAGTTACAGGTACACAATAAAGTGACTCACAATTTTTAAACGTTATACTCCATTTGTAGTTATATTGGCTGTAATCCCCATGTTGTACAATATATTTTTGTAGCTTATTTATTTTATACATAATAGTTTGCACCTCTTAAACCCCGACCCCTACCTTGCCCCTCCCTCTTCCCTCTCCCCACTGGTAACCACTAAGTTGTTCTCTCCATCTGTGAGTCTAAACAGCACTACCCTTTTTTTTTTTTTTTTTTAATTTTGGTTTTTTTTTTTTTTTAATATTGGAGTATAGTTGATTTACAATGCTGTGTTAGTTTCTGGTGTACAGCAAAGTGATTCCATTATACATATACATATATCTATTCTTTTTCAGATCCTTTTCCCTTATAGGCCATTACAGAGTATTGAGTAGAGTTCCCTGTGCTATACAGTAGGTCCTTGTTGGTTATTTTATATATAGTAATGTGTACACGTTAATACCAAACTCCTAATTTATTCCTCCCCCGTACCTTTCCCCTTTGGTAACCATAGGTTTTTTTCTGTGTCTAAACAGCAGTACTCTTAATAAACCAAAGTTGGAAATGCTCAAGCAGCCGTCCGCAGGCCCATACATGGGTGAGCTGTGGACTGCTAGCACAGTGGATCAGCACACAGGAACAGTCCACTATAACTACACCCAACAGTGTGGACGAGCTTTACATGAATACTGCTGCGTGAGAGGGACAAGACACAAAAGAGTGCCTGTGGTGTGACTCCACTTCCGTAAAGGACAAAAGCAGGGAAACCAATCCCCGCAGTTAGAAGGCAGCGGGGCGGCTCCCCCAGGGGCAGAGGTGGAGCGAGGGTGCATGGGGTGCTGACCACCATCTGCTTCTTTCTCCGGCTGCTGGCGACAATGGCAGCGCAGTTTTCTAGAGTCTGTGCTGCATTCCCTACGTACCTTATACTTCAATAAGATGTTCAAGAAGTGATATAAAAAACTAGGAAGATATATGGTAGGACCTGAGGGTTTTTATATTATTAAGGAAGGTTTAAATAATTGAAGCCAGCTTCCTTGCCTGGAGTCTTCATCACATGGCTCATGTTGGCTGAACCTACAAATCCCTCAGAACGTATGCTAAGCATCTTGGCATCTTACAGAGAACAAAGCAGTTGCCATTGTATCATCTTGAAATGTTAGTTTTGGCAAGTGCTGTACCCTCACAATCTACAGAATGATTCAGAGTAATCAATAAAGACACATGGGTTTATTATCGCAGCTTCTTCTGTAGTGAAGGCCAGAGCCCCAACAGTGCTGCTTTAATTAAACAACTTTAATAGAAGGCATCAGATATATGTGGACTTGGATACTGTGGAAGCAGGACTCACGCAGAAGTGAGAAGCACACAGCAGGCCTGGGCATTATTAGATATCAGTGGAAAAAAATCCCAAACAACAGTACGACAAAAAATGGGACCAAGACGTTACCTGCCAAAGTTATAAAGAACAGGGGGCAAAAGTGGCCACGCTTAGAAAATTGAAAATTTTCTTAACAATGAGATCTGGCTTCTTGCTCTTTTTCTATCACATTGATCTCAACAGCTAAGCTCTAATTCCCTTCATTAGGAACAGAGGGCAAGTGGCATCTCCCTCGGGGTTGACACCAGTCCGCAGTCGAGTGGCAGTGGAGCGGGTACCTATTATTTTCACCCTCTAATCACTCTGTCCTGGCCTCAGCTCTCCCTCAGCTTCTGGAAGCTGAACCCAAGGCCACAACCATGTGATCGAGGAGCCGACGTTCCTCTACTTTAAGCTAAAATCACACAGTGGTTGGCAAGAGAAAGTGCCCAGAGGGATTTAATTTACATGGCACACACACTCCCAAGGAAAAGTCACCAAAAAGCAACAGGAAAGCCAAATTCACCATTTGCTCTGCGACCCTCAAGGTAGCCAAACAAGTTCACACTTTGGTCTAGAGCTATAAGCGCAATGTCAGTATAGTTACGTTTCAGGGAGTATTTAGTCTGCATTGTCTGGAGCATTACAGCTATGGCGCATTTGACCCTTTCTGGAAACCTTAATTCCAGCTGAGCATCCAAAGGTATAATCAATATGGAATGATATTTTTCAAGGTATAGAATTTAAGAAGCCGGAGAATGAAAAGATTTAGGGTGAAAACCAGTAATATCCCTTTCCCCACTTTACTTCTCACTCATTTTTGTTCCTTAGTGGCAACCCCTTCAACTTGTATAGCTTCTGTTCCTAATTTTAAGAATCCTTATTTTTCGAGATTGTTCTCATATTTCTTTGAGGTTTTCAATTTTCTTACCATGGAAGATAGTGACATAGCCATGTACACACCTTCCCCAGATCTCATCCTACCAACAGTTTTTAGTTAATTTTAGTTAACTTTTAGTTAAGTGTTTAGTTAGTGAACACTACTTAGTGTTTGCATTACTTTGACCCCGTAACTACTGTTCCCAGCTCAGCAATGTGATGTACCATTGACTACATTTTTCTTTCCTGTGTAATTTATTTTGGTTTTTCTTGGAGCTAGTATTACCCTATTTTAATGTCTTGATTTGCCTTTATGTACCTAGGAGGAAAACATTCCTGAACTCTCCGACAGAACTCTAAAATCCCACTTGTCAGATACATCACGAAAGCTGTGTCTCCTTGCCGACCTCCCTCCGGCTCTCTGCTCTCCGGCCCTGGGACTGCCCCTCAGCAACAGCCTGGAGGTCCCCTCACTCCTCCCTGGGTGGGATCTCTTGTTCCCGGGACACCACGTCTCCTTCCTTTCTGGGTTCATCTCCTTGTTTTGGAGGATTAATTCTACCCAAGTAGCTTCTCCTGGTTTTCTTTTTCTTTTCCTTTTTTTTCCATTTCAGCTCTATTGAGGTATAACTGACCTATATACAGTTGTGAGATCTTCCAAGCTTACATCATGGTGATTTAATATATGTACACATTATGAAAGGGTTACCCCCATCTAGGTAATTAACACATCCATCACCTCACGTATTTATTTGCTTGTTTGTTTTTTGGTGTGAGAACATTTTGCTTGTTTGTTTTGGGGTTTTTTTTGAAATACATTTTTAAAGACTTTTTATTTTATTGCGATATTGGAGTATAGTTGATTAACAATGTTGTGATAGTGTCAGGTGTACAGCAAAGTGATTCAGTTATACATATACATGTATCTATTCTTGGTGTGAGCACATTTAAGTTCTACAGTCTTAGCAGATTTCAATTATACAACACTGTTATCAACTATAGTCACCACGTTTCACATTACAGCCTCAGAGCATATTCATCTCATAGTGAAAGTGTGTACCCTTTTACCCTATTTCCCCCACCTTCCAGCTCCTGGCAACCATTTTTTGCTTCTGTTTCTAGAAGGTTGACTTAAAAAATGTTTTTAGATTCTACATATAAGTGAGACCATGTAGTAGTTGTCTGTCTCTGTCTGGTTCTCTCACTCTACATAATAACAAGGTCCATCTGTGTGCTGCAAATAGCAGGATTCCCTTCTTTCTCATGGTTGAATAATATTCCACTGTGTATATATACTGCAAAGGAAAACAGTATGGAGGCTCCTCAGAAAATTACAAATAGAACAGCCATATAATCCAGCAGTCCCACTTCTGGGTATATATCCAAAGGAAATGAAAACAAGATATCTGCACCCCCACGTCCACTGCAGCATGATTCACAACAGCCAAGATACAGAAACAACCCAAGTGCCCATCGGTAGATGCATTGATAAAGAAGATGTGATATGAGCTTCTTGAGTAAGGGTAAATGGTAGGTAAAGTTTTGAGGTTTTGCATATCTGAAAGAGTCTTGTTACTCCCATACACCACGAATAATTTGGCTGAATATAGAATTCTAGACTGGAGATAATTTTCCTCCACAATTTTGAAAGTACTGTTCCACTGTCTTCTTCTAATTTTAAGGTTACTAATGAGAAATCCATGCAATCCAGATTCTGGGCCCTTTGGGTATGTTCTGCTCAGAAAGCATTTAGGATCCCCTTTCTTGCAGGAGTTCTCATATTTCACAAGGCCATCCTCAGTGTGAAGCTTTTTGTTCACAGTGCTGGGTCCTTGGGGGGCCTTTTACTGTGGCCCCTCCTGCCCTTCATTTTTGGGGAACCAGAATATAATATTTATTTGATAAAATTCCACACTTAGTTTCCCTGAATTCTTTTTGAGGTACTTCTGTTGGCTGAATCTTTGATCTCCTGGAAGTGTCATCCAATTTTCCTACTGTTTTTTTGTTTTATTTTCCATCTCTGTCTTTTTATTCTGTTTTGGGGAAGATTTTCACAGTTTTATCTCCTTTTCTGTTTTCTTCTTTTTCTGCTCTCATGTTTTCCACATCTAGGAATTTTTTTTCTGAATCTGTCCTTATTCATGATTAAAGCATTATTACAAAGGCCGTATAAGCTCTGTGTATGTGGCTTGAGTTTATTTTAGTGGCCTCACTTTGGAAGGCTCAGTTCTTTCACTAGAGGAAGCTGAAGTTTCAATACATAATTTTTCTTTGGGGCCAACTCATTTCCCCAGAGCAGCATCTTCTACTCTCTTCCCTCAGGAAAATGAGCCCACCTGTCAGCATTCATTTCACACACTTGTACTTAATTCCCCTGTTCCTGTTTCCAAAAAAGCACCCTGGCTCCACCCTGAACTGGACCAGCCTCTCTAGAAGGAAACCCACTCACACAGAACTTCTGAAGGATCTTGAAATGCTAATCCCCAGGCTTCAGTGATGTATATATGAGGCTTCGAGTGCTGGATTCAGATTCCGACACCAGGGACCTGAGTCCTACCTCTTGCCAAGTCCCTAGGCTTGTCCTGGGGATCAAGTGACATAATGTAGCAGAAACACTCTGCACACTTGTGAACAGAAGCACTTCGCAAGTCTTAGGCATTATTAATAAAAGTGGTGACATTGGGGCACATATCCAAAACGTTACTGAGGGCTGCTTTCTTTTCCTAGACTGCTCCGCTTGAAAGGAAAAGTTAATTTAAATGAATCATGCAAAGATGTTGACACAACTGAGTTTACTGCAAGCTGCTGGGGTTTCAAACTTTTCCCCAAAACCCTGAAATGCTGGTTAATTTAGTTGTCTCACCGACTGAACGACAAAGCAATCTGGGCATCTCCAGCGCCCTTTACAAAGACAGCGGCTCTGGCTCCAAACAAACGAGACTGGTCTTGGTCTTGCTGCTTTGTGTGATCAGCAAACCAAGGCAGTTTTATTGGGTAAGAAAATGCATGGGTCAGCAAATGAGGCTTGTTGTTTAATCTAAAGCATCCTTAACATAAACATCTACAATCTATAATCTAAAGCTTAAAGCCCTGACTTCTGGCTATGGGTTACAGCAAGGAAAAACAATGAATACATTTAATAATTATATCATTATTATTACGTCTAATAAATTACATTTGGACAGAGGAACAATCACTTTTTAAATTGGTAATTAATGAGACTATGATTAGATTTAAAGGTATTCTTGAATGTTTCAAGCCTTTCATTTTATATTCTTTTTTGTTCAGAACAACACATAAGTTAGAGTTTTAAGTAAAAAAATAATTAATGATTTCACTCCACAGTTACCTACCTTGGTACAAGTTCAATTATTGATCACAATATATATTACATAACTCAGTTCCATAAAATAAAAATCTAGATCTTTAAGTAAACTTTGCAATCAGCCTCTTCGCGTTTTACAGCCGAGGAAGGCTTTGCCTTGCTTTGGCTGTTGGCCAAAGGCTGTTGGTATAAATGCCTCTGGTCCAAAGACTGCCTGGAGGAATGGTAATCTGTTTTCACGTTCAATTGGAAATTTTTTTTGGGGGGGGGCACAATTTGGTAGTTAATAATGATGAGATAGATCAGAAAGTCCCTCCTATTATTCTCTGTATCTGTCTTGTGCAGTATGATAGCCAGTAGCCGTGTATGGCTACTGAACACCTGAGACGTGGCTGGTGCCTCCTAGGAACTGAATTTCTAAACGTAAACAGCCACCTGCAGCTCTTGGCAACTGTTTTGGGCAGCAGAGCTGGAAGCTCTGTGTCATCACAAGGGATCCACGCCTCAGAAATTCCTCAAAGGGCTCACTTTCCAACAGCATGGCCGATGGTCTAAGATTTTTTTGATGCAGTCCCCTTTTATACCCAGAAATATCAAGGATCTGTACACAGAAGTGGTTGTACTTTGAGTACATGCTGATTGAGAAAACATACAATACAAAAAGCTAGTAAACAATTTCGCGAGGATATTAAATAAGTTTGAACTTTATCCATGCCAACAGCACAGCCATGCTCCTGAGAGCAGGCAGCCTAGGTATGTGTAAGGTGTACCACTGGTTCCCTGTGTGGACAGGCTTGCTGCCCGAATGGATGCAAGGAACACAGGGAGTAGCTCTGCATTCACAGGCTGGAAAGCATTCTTCAGAACTGAAAGATGAATACGTTAAAAGAGCAACTGAAAGATAAAAATAGAAGTATGGGGACACCTCATAAGCAGTTAAGAAGCGCCAAAGGGTGGAGGCTCTCTGTCGGGGCATTTTGTGAGCACCCCGGCGTGTGTGACGTCCCTTTTCATCATGGCCCTGTCATTCAGCCTCAGATCTTAAACTCCTATGACTCAAGGATCTTTCCTTCAGGAAAACAAAGTTTATCTTTGGCGCCCCTTTAAAACCCGGAAATTTTAAAACAAGAGCCTCTCAGTGGTGTGCATTACACGTGATGCGCAATGGTCAGGAGTCACAGAACAGTTTGCTCGAAACACTAACACCCTCATTTAGTCACAGATACAAAGGGGTCTCCTTCCTGATGTAGCCCCTCCCCGCCTCCCCCCACCCTGCGGCCACAGGCAGAGGCTGCGGAGCCTTGTGTCGTGGTTGCTGCCCTCCATCCCCGACTGGAACCTGCAAGGTGCGTGGGAACAACGGGCCTGCTACTGTAGCAGGAACCTCAGTCACCGCCCTGAGCCCTCTGGTTCTGCAGGTCTGGGGCATCCGCTGCCTGGCATGGAGGGATATTACATAATCATCTTGTCTATAATTAAATACGAACTCACAGCATGGATCTAGAGGAAAACCTATTTTGTGATTCTAGGGTGGCTCTACTCCCAAAAGGTACGGATGACAGAAGGAGAAGCGCTCCTTTTACTGCTGAAGCAAATCCTGAGTTACTGGAACAAAGATTAAATGCTGAACAACCTATGTATTGAGTTAGCTTCAAACAATATGCTTGCTACTTCATACGCTCAAACGTCGATGTACTCCATAACTCCAGCTCTTAAAGTAAGAATTTCCAGTTATTGCTCTAGGTGGCATTAAAAGTGATTCCGCAAGTACTAAACCCTGACATTCTAAACAAATACGCTGTTCCTCAGAACAGCGGCACACATCGGGCAGCAGAAGGTAACTGCAAGGCGGGTGCTGATGCTGTGTTCTGCTCCATTACTGAATGAGCAATGATCTTTCACCAAGTAATGCATGACACATACTAGGTCATCCCAGGAGCGACGCGACTGCTGACCCTGGCATGGCTCTGCTGCTGCCGTTAGTGAATCCGAACAAAGTGTGGGCCACTGGCTGAAAATACATAGTATTTTTTTCTGTTTGGGAGTGGGGAGCACTTGACCAAATCTAAGACTGTACATTAAGTTCCAGCTTCGCTTTTAAAAACAAAACCAAAAAGCAGCTCCCCTAAGCAAGGGCACAGAGGGACTGGCCCACGACCCGGCGCCTGCAGAAACAGGTGTCGCCGTCTTCCCGGTACACTGACGCTTACCTGGATGAGGCTGGCAGCTGGGTTCCTTCTTTTCTCAAAGTGCTTCTGGCGGTGCTGTTCTTGTACTTTTAATGCAAAACCTGAGCCAAGAATGCCCTGCAACAAAATACGGAGATAGCGCTGAAAACTTCTTTCCCCCAAACACCATTAAATAATACAAGTATTTTAAAAAACCCTCTTCTTAAAAAGAGTCTGTGAAAAGGCCAACAGTAGGCAACTTGTCCCTAAACTCATTAAAACAAACACGATTTCATCTACTATAACACGTCAGCCAACGGCAAGCAGCTGGGCAGGAAGCAGGAGGTCTGCCCTTCTGGAAGTCACCAGGCCCTACGGTCTCTCATGGGGTAGGAGGAGTCACCACAATTCCAAATAAAAATCACCATTTAAAAAAATGTTTTCGCGTGGCCTTCTCTGTGGCATTTCTTTACGCCTAAGTCAGAGAGAATGGTCCTATCCAGTGGTGGACAGAGGGGGGATTAGAACTTGTGGCTGTTCCTGTCTCACAGATGTGGACATGGGAGCTTTCCTAGCACTTTGATGACACTACCTGATTTTATACTTTCCATTCACGAAATGGTGGGGGAGGGAGTGTTTAAGGTTAATCCTCAGCGATGCTATAATTCTACACCTACCGAAGGAAAGTAACAGTGGGGAAGGACAGTTGTCCAGATGAGACACACGCTCAGTTTTGGAGACGTCGAAGGTTTGCCGTTTTGCGTGTCTGTCCAGTAAAGACAAGAGCACAGGTCAATGCAAAGCACCTTCTTCTCTACCTGAGTCTTAACGGCACATTCTGAGCCGGGCTTGCCTTCCTGGCCCTGGCTCACCTGTCAGATCTTGGGGTTGGTAGGTGAGCAGTCCCTTCTGGGTTTATGCTAGCTTTTGCTGGTTTGCTTCCTTCTGCTGTCTCCATCTGCCAAAATATGGCCCCTCTTTTCAGTTTGCTTTGGTCTAAATTTGTGGAATTAAGATGCTTCGTCTCACCCTTGAGTTGAGGCTGGCTTTGGAGTTTGCTCAGTTCAGTCTCTGGGCTTTGTCTCTGAGCCTCCACTTTCCTGGTGTGGGACACGGAGCCCCTCTGCTTTCAAGTCTGGGATTTTAGTTGCTAGCTATAAATTATTAGCTTCTTATTAAACTTCGAGGAGTCTAACCCTTAGGTTACAGCTGGGCATTTTATAAGCTCTAAGTCAGTATTTGCCACGGGTCAGGACTATTTTCCTTTTCTTCACATGTTTGAAGTCACTCAAAGATAGTACAGGCTGCTCAAGGGGGTGACCTTGGGAGGTGTTAGGTCTCAGTGGATGAAAACTTGGCGAGGACATTTTGGGGCTCTAGGCAACCTTTAACCCTCCTTCTCATCCTGAGATTCCACAATTCCGAGTACCTCTGTGACAATGACCAGATAATAAATAACACAGTTCTGTTTAAAATGCAGTTATACGACGACAGTCTTGTTGTTAATGAGCAGTGACCGACTCCCCCATCGGTCAGGATGAGTGGCTGCGCCATGAGATGAGGGATGGCGTCTGAGGTCTGTTCCATCTCACTCCCTTAGTGACTGTGCTGTGCAGCCTGAGGTCCTCACCTCATGCAGGCTGTGACTGAACATACCAAGCTCTACGAAAACCTGGTCTATAGGATCTTATTTGTAGATTTAGACAACATCTCCCTCCATTTAGAGGTTATAAAAATAGCCTTCTGTTTGCAAATCCAAATCAACTCTTAGTTACGTATAACTCCTAAATTTCTTGCTGCTCCTTAAGAGCATTAAGGAAAAATTTAAGTATTTTCCTTTTAATGTCATTTTTCATGAAGTTTAAGCATGCAGGAGACTATGAAACAGCAGAATTTATAGCATATATTTATATTATGTATATTATGTATTCATATTATATGCATAGATGTGTATAATCCACTCATAGGAAGCACAGTTTAGATTTTGTAGGCATTGAATTAGCAGCAATAGCTACCATTTTTGAGCATGTCATTATGTAAATATGAAGTTCAGAGTTAGATCCCTTTTGGAAAATGAAGACAGGCCAGGCCCTACATAGCACAAACTTAGCACCTGCCAAACAAACTAAAATGTGGTGAAAATCACGTTGGCAGTGCTTAGAAACATTCGCTAGTAGATGGCAAATGTCGGCTGCATGTCTCCTGAGACAGACTGTCCATTACAGCAGTCACTGCACCAGCTCTGCTCGTCGTCTTCTTACGGCTGCTGTCCAATCCTGCCCCACCTCCCTCCGTCCCCAGCTCAGAAACAGAAACACAAGGCTGGTAAAATAAAGCCTGTTATGTTACATATATATATCCTGTAAGTTATGTAAGTATATACATGTAAATATAACTCATGTGCTATTCCTTCCAGTATCCATACCAATAGATAAAGTCTCAGAAATTGATTTTTGTCTTAATTCATTTCCTAAGATCAGATAACTTAAGTTTTGAGGTTTTAAGTTTTAGAAGTGCTACATAAACACCAAATAAAAAGGAAACATGTATTGGTCAGTATTTAAAATATTTATCCCTTGTTTAATTCTAGTTAAAATATACTCCCTTCCAGATTAGAAGAGCCTATCTGTACCCCCCAGTCCTGCACTTGGCGAACAGGCTAAACAGAAAGATCCTCTCAGCAGGAGGTAAGGGGCTTCTGCAGGTGGAGATAGGCCTGCCCCGCAGGGCGAGGTTGGGCAGGAGTCTCAGGGAAGGGGACCCCTGGTGGAGTTGGTGGTCTGTGTGACTCTGTGATGTGTGGGAGAGTCCTTCTGCTTTGAGGGAAAGATGGGGAAAGGAGCTTCTCTTTCTTGGTCCTCGGTTTACTGGGTAGAAGGAACTCAAATAGGGATGGGCCACAATCCACCTCTGACTTTTCTTAGCAAAATGCCAACGTGTTCTCCTAATTTCAATCTGACACCCCTGCCAGCCCGCGGGTGCACAAGACATTAATGGCATTTCTAGCCACCCTGTTTTATTTAAAGGTATGCGGGAACCACTGAGTCTTTCATTCAAGTAAGAACTCAGTACCTAACGTGAGGCTGCAGTAAAAAGATCCATGGTGAAGTCTACTTTGCTTGGCACTGTTAGGGCGTGTTCTATGCAAGCAAGATGTTCAGATCTCCAACATGTATTAATTTAACTTGCATATAAAATTGTAATCACTTTATTGGGAAACCTTTACAAGAATGGCCACTTAGTCTCTGACCCTTAACCTAAGAGCGACACAGCTGAACCCCCTGTGATGGTCCATGGTCTCAGGATGGAGTCAGGGCGTCTCGCTGAGGTGGGCTGAGCTTCAGGCCAAGTGGCCCAGGTCTTTACACCTTTGAACACTTATGTCTGCTCACTTCTTACCCATTTCTCTTCCCTCCCTTGCTGTTGTTACCTCTTCCTGGTCTAAAGTGTGTTCTATCACCGTACTTCTACATTGCTGTCTATAATCCTCAGAGGTGTGAAACCAAAGAGCTCAGTTTACCAGACTTTTCTCTACATTAAGCAAAGGTTACGAATGAGGCTCGAGGCTCTCCTGGGAGGACGGCACATACACGGTTGCCCATGGGAACAGCCCAGAGGGGGGAACAGCCCAGAGGGGGCCTCCTTCCCTGCCTGTAGTTCTTCGAGGGATCACACGGGTTGTTATACCTGTGGCCTCAGGATAAGTATAAACACAACAGAGGCAGATCTTTTGCGCCATTATTTTGGGAAAAGAGTGCAAGACTACATTTTACTGTTTCTAAAGGTATTTTCCTGTAGGGAATCTGGTTATTGAGTGGGTCTCTGCCCACTGAATTGCTGGGCAGAGAATTGAATTCTGGTCTGAATTGCTGAGGTTGCCAGATTCCGCTGACTCTGGATAAGTGAGACGCTTTTTGGACTCCGCTTCATTTTGTCACAGCAGGAAACACACACATCATGAAAATTTTCTTTGACAAGCACCTGACTTACATCATTGGTCTTAACAGACTTTCTCTGGGTGTGATAATTTTTCCTACCTGATATTGATAAAGAAAGGTACTCAGGGTTTCTCTTACGGGCTGACTTGCGTCCAAAATTCATAGGCTGTAGTCCTAATCACCAGGACCTCAGATGTGACCTTATTTGGAGAAAAGGTCTTTACGAAGGTGATCAAGTTACAGTGAGCTCATTAGGGTGGGCCTTAACCTAGTATGTCTGGTGTCCTTTTTTTTAAAATTAATTACTTAATTAATTTGTTTATTTTCGGCTGCGTTGGGTCTTCCTTGCTGCGCGCAGGCTTTCTCTAGTTGCGGCGAGCGGGGGCTACTCTTCCTTGCGGTGCGCGGGCTTCTCATTGCAGTGGCTTCTCTTGTTGCGGAGCACGGGCTCTAGGCTTCAGTGGCTGTGGCACGTGGGCTCAGTAGTTGCGGCGCACGGGCTTAGTTGCCCCGCGGCATGTGGGATCTTCCCGGACCAGGGCTCGAACCTGTGTTCCCTGCACTGGCAGGTGGATTCTTAACTCCTGAGCCACCAGGGGAGCCCCCCTATGTCCTTTTAAGAGGAAACCTGGACACAGACATGGGCAGAGGGAAGATGATGTGAAGATACAGTGCTCAGACGGCCATCTACGAGCCCTGGAAGAGGCCTGGCCACATCCTCCCTTGCAGCCCTCGAGAAGAACCGGCCCTGCCAGCTCCGTGATCCTGGACATCCAGCCTCTAGAACTACGAGACAATAAAGTTCTGTTGTTTAAGTTAAGCCAACCAGTCCGTGATGCCTTGTTACAGCAGCCCTAGCAAGCCAACACAGTCACACGTGGGCAGCACATGACAAACCCGGATTCAAAGTGGGGTCTGATGCCCGTGCTCTCGCGTGGTCTCTTGGGACCCTTCTCTGACCTTGGATGGTCCGGGGTGCAACCAGTTGGTCAGTCTGGAGCTGAGCTCTGGCCACGGGAAGGACAAGGGGTCCCAGGCAGAGGGGGAGCCCCCGGCAGCTACAGGCTGTGGTGCTGAAGGCCCCACCCCCTTGGCTCCTGGGAGGGCTGCCCCGGGGCCTCTGCAGCAGAGGCTGTGACGTGAGCCAGCCTGTGTCTGGGGCAAGACTGAGGCTGCTGTTCCCTAAGCGGGATGGCGGCCACGGCTCTCACAGTCCTGCTTGTTGGCTCCTCTCCAACAAGGGGAAGCCAAAAGCAAGCTCTTGGGGAGAGAGGCAGGTGGAAATACTCTGACCAAGTGCCTTTGAAGACACAAGAGGATAAAACAATCAGAAAGGAAGGCTTCATCCAGTACGGAGAAAATAATCAGAAGCTTAAGAGAAGGGAAGTGTGTTCTTCATTCTGATAGGACACTGGTTGTTAGCAAAAATCAATGATGACACAAGGAATAAATCATCTGACACATTAATAAAAACCCTTTAAATTCGTATGCTTTTCACTCAAGTGGACCTGAGAGGTAGCTACTCCACGTGGGCACATGCATCTCTTCAGGAGTGCCCACCTTATGCACCTAATGGGAACCATCAGTTTAAGAGGAGGATATCTTTAAATCTTTACACATAGTTTCAATGTATTAGTAGCCTGTTGACTGAGAGATGGTGTTGCCTCAATTATCATTTGGTCCTAAAGCCTCAGCTGGTATAAGACTCTCAGGTTAAGCGACTCCGAGGGAAGACCATATTTTGTAAATTATCCAACTAGATACATACAGAAAAGTCAACATTACATCAGAAAAATGATATTAGTAAATGATATAGCTATGTTCTAGGGCATACCGTTTTATGAAAGCTCGTGCTAATAAACCTCCAAGATCCAACTGAAAGTGCTTAAGTTTTGCAAAGATACTCACAGCAGGAAGTGCAAAGAAAGAAATGCCCAGGAGTGCAAAGCCTGCAGAGAGCAGCCTTCCCAGCCAGGTCAGGGGGGTTTTGTCTCCATAGCCGATTGTGGTCAATGTTATCTAAAAACAAAATAAATAGGACGTGCAGCTTAAGTACTTGAGAGGAAAGTCAGGACCCATGAACAGGAGGCAAAGCAACCTTTCCACTGAATCATCATTCAACCAGTCTGGTTGGTGCATTTTATTACTGTGCTTTAACTTTCCATGACGCATAACAGAACTTCTCGTTGTTTAAGGAAGGGAATAGCCTACATACTTGTTCCTCCCTTATAACACAGTTTTCCATCTTTTCTAAGTGCATTCAAAGAAAGGCTATGTTATATAGTAAGTGGATAACCATCAATGATACAGAAACGACAGCACTATGGATTTAGGACTGGATCAGTACACAACAATAGTTTATGTTAATTCAGGCTGTCCATTTATTTCTTTGGCGGGCATTTCCTGAAGGTCTGGTGTGTGCAAGGTATGTGTTTTGATTTGTAGTGGAACAAAAATGAGAGGTACATAGTTCCTGTCCTGAGATATTTATGGCCTAAGAGGGGAGATATGTCACACACAAATCATTAAAACGCAAAATAGGGCAAGACAGGTATTATGATGAATGCACAAAATAATTTGCTGCTCAAATTCAAAGAAGAGATTATTACCAGCTTGGGGTGCTGAAGCAGCTTTGTTGGGAAGATGTCATCACACCCAGGCTTTGAAGGAGGGGTAATATTTTGAGAGGCAGAAATGATAGAGTGATCTAGGGAGGGGAAACAGGTGACCAGCTGCACAGCAGTGAAATAAACAGGGTGGGTTCTGGAACGTGTGTTCAGTTGGGCCGGAGCACGGTGGGTCTGAAGAGGAGGCTAACCAGGTACGCTGAAGCTGGACCAGAGGGTGTCTTTGAAAAATTATCCCTGGGTCGTGTCTCCCCGATGGTCAAGTGCTCCAGGGGCTGCCCATGTGCCTTAGAACAAAGCCCTGGCTCCAGTCCAGGACCGATGAGGTTCTGCCTGATCTGGCAGAATGATGGGGCAACTGAATCGGAACAGCGGGAGTGGGACAGTACCGGGTGGAGAGTAAAGAGATGAGCTGAGGAAGTTCACTAGAAGCCTGTCTGAGACGAAGGGGAAGATGAAATCTACATGACTGGCAAGTTTCAGCTGGGAAGATGACTGCCCCATAAATAGAAATATGATAATGAGAAAGAGGAGGGTTTGGAGCAAAGAAGACGAGTGGCTTTCAAATGAGGGTTTTTAAACTATCAACATGACGCTGATCTAGAAATGTCTGAGCAACGAATTAAGAAGGAGAGCTTGAGTCTTGAGAGATTGAGGTTGGCATGAAATCTGGGTTTTGGAATAGGGTGCCGAGTGACTCTTTAAGCTCTGTGAAGAAATAAGGTTGCAAATGGTGCAAAGGAGGGGCCAAGGGCACCTCCTCAGGAGACACAGACATGTAAGGGATGGAGGGGAAAGGAAAGTCAGAGGAGAATACAGTTTTTCAAAAGTAGGAGGACTGGGAATGGGTTATAGAATGGAAACTCAATGAAGAGAGTTTCACAGAGGACCAGGTGAGCCCTGATGCCACAGGCTCAGGGAGAACAAGGAGAATGAGGACTGAGAAAAGATGTGGACACAGAGACAGGCGTCACTGGTGATTTCTAACAGCGGCGGTTTGGGGCAGGTTGTCCTCCCCGGGCTCTGAAGGAGGGCCAATTAGTTGCGAGGCAGAAAGGGTGGAAGAAGAGGCGCTCTGTGATGGAGACCCTCCGGAAGCGCTCGGCTCAGCTGGCCACCACTCCCTAGACCCTCTCCTCTCTCCTCGCTTTTGTGCTTCTCCTTTTACATCTTTGGCGGCTCCTTTTACGTGGCTCCTCCTACCCCAGCCCACCTCCAAATACTGGATTCTTAAGCTTTGCTTCTGGGTCTTTTTCTCTTTTAAAAATTCTGTTCTTCTCGAGACTTCCCTGGTGGTGCAGTGGTTGAGAATCCGCCTGCCGATGCAGGGGACACGGGTTCGAGCCCTGGTCCGGGAAGATCCCACCTGCCGCGGAGCAACTAAGCCCGTGTGCCGCAACTACTGAGCCTGAGCTCTAGAGCCCACGAGCCACAACTACTGAGCCCGCATGCCGCGAGTACTGCAGCCTGTGCACCTAGAGTCCGTTCTCCGCAACAAGAGAAGCCACCGCAAAGAGAAGCCCACACACTGCAACGAAGACCCAATGCAGCCAAAAATAAGTAAATGAAATAAATAACTTTATAAAAAAAATAAAAATTCTACTCTTCTGTAACTTTCCCCCTTTCCCCTCCTTTCTCTCTCTTCCCCAGCGACGTGAAACGCTCTCATGGGTATAAATACCATTTTTATGCTGAACACACTGAGTTTCTACCTCCAGGCCAGACCACTCTTCTGAGCTCTGGATTCACACATCTGCAGCGGGTATTCTGTTGGGATGCTGCACAGTCATTTAAATTGAACATGTCTAAGGACTTCCCTGGTGGTCCAGTGGTTAAGACTCCACGCTTCTGCTGCAGGGGGCGCGGGTTGGATCCCTGGTCGGGGAACCAGGATCCCGCATGCCGCATGGCCAAAAAAACAAATAAAGTAAAATAAAATAAAAGCAGGTGTTGTGAATTAAAGGATGTGAAACAAATAAAAAAAATATAAACTGAACATGTTTAAAACGGAAATTGTATCATCCTAAACCCGCCGCTCCCCCGATGACACCCCCTCCTGGTCGAGAGCCCCACGGACCACCGTGCTGCTCAATCAGAAGCCTTGGGGCACTGCTGCCGCTCCCTCCCCGCAGGTGTCTCTCTGAATACCTCAGCAGGTTCCGCTGCTTTGATCTCCCCAATCCCACTGCCTTCTCTCTGTCATCACGGCCACCACTGAAGACCGGGCTGCTAGAGCAGCCTCTTTTTTTTTTTTAGACGATAATTATTCCAGTTTTATTAAGGAATGGTTGACATACATCACTATTTAAGGTGTACGGCATGACGGTTTGATTAACACGTACTGTGAAATGACGACCACAGCAGGGTTAGTGAACATCCATCATCTCAGAGAGACGCAGAGAAAGAAAAGAGTGATGAGAACTTTTAGGCTTTACTCTCTGAGCTTTCCTGTATATTATATGGGAATGTCAACAACGTCACCATGTGGTACTAACATCCCTGGTACTAGTTTATCTTATAACTGGAAGTTGGTACCTTTTGGCCACCTTCCTCCACTCCCCGCCCCTCTCGTAACCACAAATATCACCTCTTTCCGTGGGTTTTTTTGGTAAGCTTCCACATATAAGTGAGATCACACAGTGTCTGTCTTTGTCTGCCTTGTTTCACTTAGCGCTCAAGGTCCATGCACGTGGTCACGGACGACAGGGTTTCCTCGTTTTCGTGGCTGAGTAGCACCGTCGTGTATACACCACACCTGCCTGCACGCTCGTCGCCGTGCACCCTGAGGCTGCCCCTGCATCCTGGCTCATGTGTGTCATGAGCTGCCGTCTCTCAGTTGCTCTTTCTGGCCTCTCTCAGTTCCTTCTCTGCACACCTGCAAGGGCTATTATTTTCTTACTCCTCTCTAAAAATCCTGCAATGGCTATTCACCAAATTCAGAATAAATTCTAAGCTCCTAGCTACGGAACTCATGACCTGGTCTCTGCCCAAGTCTCCAAGGTCCCCCTGGTCCCCCCTTGCTCACTGCACTTTAACTACAGTGTCCTTTCAGCTCCTCTGATGGGCCAGGCTATCCTGCCACAGGGCCTTTGCACACTCTGCTCCCTCAGCCCCCAGTCTTCCTGAGGCTCCTTCTCAACCTTCAGGTGTTATCCAAAACACTCTGTCCTCAGAGAGGCCTCCCCTGGCCACTGTGCCCAGGCGGCCTCTGGTCTGTCTCTGTCCTGCTCATTTCCTGTCAGCACTTATCATGAGGGGTAGTGTACTACTGCTCTACTTTCCTCTGGGGAGGGGTCCTTATTTCCTCTACTAGAAGGAGGGACCGTGTCTTTACTCTTTGTTTTCTCTCTAACATCCAGCATGTTGTTTGCCTCCAGAGTAAGAGGAACTCAATAAATATTTAGTAAATAAATAAAGAATTCTTTCAAGAACATTGGCAACAGAGTGAGAAACATGGGGCCAGAACTCCCGGAAATCTCGGATGTGAGTGGGTGCTTTCTAGGATGTGTTTGTGCCTGTCTGCAGAGAGGCCGAGGCTGAGGAGGGGAGGGTGGGAGCTTTATGATGGGGGGGTACCCGAGGAGGAGGGACATAGGGTCAAGGACAGGGTGGAGGGTTGGCCTTGGCAGTGTGAGAGGAGGGCAGGGCTGGAAAGCTCAGGCCAGTTCCCGTCAGCAGTGAAGGACAAAGGAGGGTCACCTGTGGGGAGCAAAGGGCCTGGAACAGGAAAGGCTCGGGCTGTGAGAGGGAACCGGCAGTAGAACCCAGCAGCCAAGTGAATCAGATGCCACCAGCAGTACGGGGAGAGGATTCTCAAAGGAATTCCTTGAGATTGCAGAAGCAGCATTCCTGGCTCCATTTTATTACAGGTTCCTAATTTTAAATATGTGGGAAAGATTTTAATCTATTATACCTGTTCTGCAAGATAGCTTAATCCTTTCCAGTAGTTTATTAATAATAATAATAAAGGGGAGGAGAAATGTCATGGTTTGGTCACGGCAATAACTTTGCACTTCTCCGTCTGCTTTCCATTCCGATCACACATCTGAGCTGTTCTCCTTGTGGCTCAGTGCTCAGAGTGCGTTTTTTTTTTTTGCGGTACGCGGGCCTCTCACCGTTGCGGCCTCTCCCGCTGCGGAGCACAGGCTCCGGACGCTCAGGCTCAGCGGCCATGGCTCACGGGCCCAGCCGCGCCGCGGCATGTGGGATCCTCCCGGACCGGGGCATG